GAGACAGTTTCATAGCAGCCACTGATCACCGAGGTGTTTGCAAAATATTCCCACCCCCCTCCCCAAAATCTCTTAAGATTAAAAACCAGCCCCAGATGGCAGGTGGTGGTTTAAGGTCCGAGCCAGGACAGCGGCCAGGTAGAAAGCGAGCAAGAGCAGAAGGTCCTTGGGACCTGATGGTGCTTGACGACGCTGGTGAAGAACGTGGAGAGTTAAATTAGCCCTTGAGTTATGGCACCGAAACGCCGTCTCCTTCCTGGCCCTGCCGCCGGCTGTGCCTTCTGGGGGGATGCTACAAGGACCTGGGTTTCCGGGAGGAGGAGGAGGAGGAGGAGGAGTAAGAGGAGGAGGAAGGGGCTCAGCCCACCCCAACGGGGGCCAAGCCGAGGCGGAGGGCGAGTGGTCACAGGTAGGTGATGGAGCCGGGCATGGGTGCTGCTTCCCGGCGCCCGCCACAGTTCTGCCCTCGAGCCGTGGCCTCCCTGAGCCCCGGCGGAGACGGGGAGGACGAGACGGAGGGGTGCAGAGAGGGTCTTCCCCCCCTCCCCGACCCCTCTCCATCCCTCTTCAGCTCACACGGAGGTCTCTGACTGCAGCCTCATGACGAACTTGTGCGACTTGGGGTCCACGAACTCCTCCGAGAGCTTGAAGAAAGGGATCTTCTTGGTGCTCACCACCAGGCTGAAGTCCTGGCGCTTCAGCACAAAGACCACCCCATCTTTCAGGCCGTTGGTCACCGGCTCCTCGCTGACCAGCGTCCACTGCTTGGCCAGCCAGCGGTCCTTGTGGTACTGGATGGTGGGCCCAGCTGTCAGGTACCGCTCAAGGAACGCCTTGGAGGAGGGAAAGAACACGTGAAAGTCACCTTCCTACGCCTCAGCCTGTTTTTTTTTTTTTTTTGCAGCCTCAAGCTGCCCGGCAGGTCCTGCAGGAAAAACATCCCCTGCGTGGCTGGTTCCCACCGCCACGCGTTGCTCTCTTGGGGTTACACCCACTTTTCTGGCTGTATCCCCCAACCCTGTGTTCTCCCGGTGTGATGCTCTCACACGGTGGATATTTTAGACCAGCTCTGAGGAAGGATTTCTGTGCAGAAGGGGCTGTTGGGCGTTGGAATGGGCTGCCCAGGGCAGGGGGGAGTCCCCGGGATCCCTGGGGGGGTTGAAGAGTCGGGCTGAGCCAGCGCTGAGGGGTCTGGGGGAGTTGGGAAGGGTCAGGGGGAGGGTCATGGTTGGGCTGGAGGAGCTTCAGGGGCTTTTCCAACCCAGAGGACTCTGTGATTCTGTGAAAACTCCCCTCCCCAAGCCCTCACGCTCTGCACCAAGCCCTGGGGCAAAGCTGTGGCCCCATCCCACCTCACCGCGCGCCCCCCTCCACGCACCTTGGGCGTCATGTCGTGGGTGATGCAGAACTCGAGGTGCTGCAGGATGCTCTCCATGGTGTGGTAGGGCTGCTGCTTGGTGGTGCGCAGGTACTTCTGCATGGCCCGGGCCATGGAGGCAAAGATGGCCTGAGCCGCCTCCCGCGGGTCCATGATCTCCCGGGGGTTCTTCTGATCCTCCTCCTGCAGCCGCTTGATGTGGGTGAAGGCTTCTTCCACCGCCACCACCAGCCTGCGGGAGGAAAGCCACGGCCGTGCTTGCAGCGGGGCAGGCTCCAGCCACGGGCAGAGAGATCCCCTGGATTTATGGGGGGGATGGCAAAACCCCCAATTCCCCACCCCAAAACCATTTTACGGGGAGATCCGGTTGCGTCGCGCCAACAGCCGGGTTTGGGATGCGCTTCCCCAAAGAGCGGGGATTGGGGTGCCCCCTCCCTGCTGCAGGCACAGCCTCGGGGTGATGCAATGGGCACCCCCCCGGGGGGCACACGGACCCCCGGCCCCGCCGCCGGCCCCGTACCTGGCGCGGCGTTTCCGCACCCTGCGCTCGTGCTCTGCCTCCTCGTAGTAATACTCGTTGTGGCTGTTGTCGCGCCGCCGGGCAGCCGCCGCGATGACGGCCCGCGACTGGCCCGTGGAGTTGTTCGTTGTGTTTTCTGCGCGGGGGGGAGGCGGGGGCGAAAAGAAAAAAAAAAAACCAAAAAAACCTACAACAATTCCCTGGAAATGGGGAAAGCCAGCGCCGAGCATCACGGTGCCTGGATGGGGATGGACCCCCCAGGACCCCTCCAGCATCTTAATATTGTTACTGGTGCTTACTGGGGAAGCCCCTCCGGGGTGGCACACGTGGCCAGTGTGCCCCGGCTCAAGCGCTGTCCCCTCCAAACTCTTTTAGTGCTTTGGACAAAATAAATCAAAATCCAAATCCAACCGCTCGCCTCCCCGGGATGAAATCTGGCAGCTCCCACGACCAAACCACACCCCCCCTCCCAAACCCAGGACCCCCCAGGACCCCCGACCCGGCCCAGCCTGCCAAACAACAGAGGCCAGAAGGAAAAAAAAAAAAAAAAAAAA